AACAACTGTCCTAACCCCCATCTGAACGTCTCTGCAATGTGAGGGGAGGCTGAGTTGGAGTTCCTTTATTTTGTGGAAAAGTGGCCTGTGTTTCCGAACTGCTGCGCACCGACAGCTCAAATAAACTGTGATGGGATCTGCAGAAGTTCCTTGTCACTGAAAATCGAGTCTCTTACTTTGGTATCTAATCTTAAGACATTTCAGTTATGACATTTTTGCCTGCTTTGTTAGGACTGGATCCTGCCATCTGTGTGTCACAAGTAAAGTACCTTATGGAGAAAGTGACCCTGTGCTAAAATATTACTCAAATGCAGAGGGGTGTGGGGGCAGAACTGAGCCTTTAACCTTTTGATAATGAGGAAACTTAAACAGGTTTTGAGTAAAAGCAAAAAAAAAGTACATTTGACCCTGTATTGTTCCACAAATTGTACTGTATATAAAGAACATTTTCCAGCAGCAAAAGCTGTCTTGCTTTACCACACTAAAAATGCCAGTGGCAGGAGTGTCATACAGCCCCTAGAGACAAGAAGCTGTTTCTGCTAGGGTGAATTATGATTTTTAGAGGTGATGGTAGTTTCCACCCATTTCCAGTTTCTTACCTCTAAGCATGTAAATGGCTTCATTTATTTTACTAGGCAGATGAAGTTTGGCACATGGAACTGAATCCTATAGTGGGTGATGTGAGCATATTTGAGGTATTTTGTAAAATCAAATGATAGAAATCCTGAGCCAGCTATGACAAATGGTGCCGGTAGCAAACGATAGTTGTGGAGATAGCTCATCTGTTTGTGATTTTTGTCTTCAGCTACGTGGACCTGACTTCTGACCTGGCCGGAGTCCGCCAAATATTTCCAAAGAAACCACTAGGTTTGCGTTCTAGCTGAGGAGTCCCTTCTAATTCTTCCTCGTTCAGAAAGTACTAACGTCTGTTTCTCAGTTTCCAAACATTTAACTCTCTGTTCTAATAATAAACGGTGTTAGCTTGGTGGCGATATGGTTAATAGAAGTTCCCTAGTTAGAGTTTTAGCCCTACGGTATTGTCACATTTCATTGCAGGTTTGGCTGTGGAATCACCCAGCCTCTCCAACATATACAGAAAACTACGAAGTTACTCTCACATCATAACGCCTTAAAATGTGTCCTTCTCACTCTCGTAAGGATCACAGAGTATTCCAAGGATTCCAGTTCTCCCATCAGCCGTACCTCCTTTTCCTCCAACTCTTTCCTTTGCATAAGGGAGCTTATTTTGTAGGACTGTGCGAAGCTTTGGGTGCTGATTCGATTCGGAGGTAGGTTCGGCCTGATTTGGCGGATGAATCTCCGGATCCGAATCAAATCAGGAGACCAATAAAAAGGTCCAGATTGGATTGATTCGAAGCTCTCTGAATCGATTTGGAAAAGATTTGCAGAGCTTTGGAGATTTGGGCAGTCCTCGCTCCTGCTGCAGGGAGCTGGACCCAGACTCCATGCTGGTAAGTAGGGGGCGGGGATGGGGACAGGGGGGGCTGGAGGATGGGAGAGGAGACCATGGGGAGACCCCTGCCAGGCCCCATTCCCTGCCTGCTTCCCCAGCCCCCCACATGGCTGCCCTGCTCAGCCCTAGCTCCCAGGTCTTGTGTTGCCAGGAGGGGGAGTGATCCCTGCTGCCCTGCACTGTATGGGGGGCTCTGCCACCTGACCCCTGCCTGCTTTCCCAGCCCCCACCAACCTTCCCCTCCACCCCCATTGGCTGCCCTGCCTGGCCTCAGCTGCTGGCTCTTTAAAAAAATTTAAAAACCCCTCACTCACTGGGTCCTGCAGTGGCCTCAGGGCTTCTGGGAGCTCATGGCACAGTCCCCCACACAGCATAGGACAGTGTGGGGCAGTGGGGATTGCCCCACTGCTTGGCAGGAGCTGGTGAGTTCGGGTCTTTTTTTTTTTAAAGAACCAGGAGCTGGGGCTGGGTGGGACAGCTATTGACAGGGCTGGGAGAGCAGGCAGAGGATGGGCCTATCCAATTTGGAGATTTGTCCGATTCAGCAGCAGCCGAATTAAGTCAGGGCAGTGATTTGAATCACTGAATCGAATCACTGTCCCCTGAATTGGCCCAATCTGAATCAGAAGCGAATACTAGCCACTTCTCACAAGCCTATTATTTTGTAATACTTCACAATTCATAGACTATTGAGTACCTTCTCTTCTTTGAAAAACATGGGCTAGGTGCAGTTCTTACCCTTCATGTGCATTATAGAAAGAACTTTAAAGCCACAACAAAACAGATGTTCACAGCACTTAAAGCACTTTAAAAAGGGTGGATCCTGCTCTAAGTTAACCCTCGATGGATGTGGTAATAGACTAAAGTGCTTTCGGTTAAGTGCTTTTTGAACATCTGTACCACACCCATCACTCTTCAGTGTCAGTTGCATTTTGCTGCCATCCCAGGGGTCCCTCACTTGCTAGCATTGGTTCATCTGCTCTGGGTAAGCACTGGCCCAGCCCTATCTTCTCTGTCGTCTCCCTGCACAGTCAGGTGGGGGGAAGGGGGGAGGAATGGAGCCTCTGCTATGCAGACCCCCTCCCCCAAGCTTATAGGCTCGAGTCTTGGTGGGGTCTGAGCCAGGTCCACATGCCAGAGAGGCTCTGTTTCCAACTCCTACTGGACCCAGTTCCTAAAAAACCAGCCGGGCAACACCGTAGCTTCTGGTTGGAGGTGTCAACAGGCTGGGATGGGGGAGGGGAGAAGGGAGCCCCCTGCTGCAATGAACCCACCATAGCTTGCTGGCTGGGGCTTCTGGGAGGGAAGTTACACCTGTCCAGCAGGAGAGCTCCCTTGCTGCCCCCCCACCCCAGTTCCTGGCACAGCAAAAAGCCAGCTGGGCTGCCCCACACTGCAGCTCCTGGCTTCAGTTGTCAAGAGGTGAAAAACCAGCTGGGCAGCCCGGTGCCATAGTTCTTGGCTGCAGCTGCAAAGAGGCTGGAATGGGGGAATAAGGGAATCCCCTGGCCATGCAGTCCCAGCCTAGCCCTCCCCTTGAGACCCCCAACCACCAAGTTGTTGGGGGGTCCTCGCAGTGGGGTCTCCCTTCCCCTGACCGTCCCCCTCAAGCCACTGCAGATAGTCGCCAGCTGGCAGAGGGAGCGGGGCTAGCTCTGGCAGCCTCCTTGGAGGTGTGCAGGAGTGCTCCCCAGGCACTGAGCCCACTCCCAACCACTGAACAGCAAATGTCTGTTCGGTTCATTCCCACACTAACTTACAGCACTTTAAGTTAAGTGCCATAGAGCACTTCCTCCAAAGGACTTTTGGAGTATCTGTACTCAGCCATGATCTCAAAACACAAAAGTTCTGGCATCGGGTCATAATTTGCCAAGGCCTTTGTGCTGCAAAAGATGGCCACAACAGGATCCTGCAGATCCTTGGCAGCTATTATATGCACTAGAATGTTCCCAAATTGGAGTTTCTCAATCTGGGATGAGTGCTTTTCTCTCTATGTCATTTCATCCACCACTGATCAGCAACTGCCTCCAGTGATTGAAAAATGGCAGCTGCTTAACCAGGCAAAGAAATACAACACTGCAGTTTAAAACAGGAATTCCAGTTGTTTCCTATTAAAACGGCAGGGGACAAGTATATGGCAAGTAGACTGCTACTTCTGGTGTTGGACTCGGGATAGAGCTAAGGTACTAATATTCACGCACAAGCATTTGGAGATCACCGATTAGATCTGATTGCGTTCAATTAAAAAGCTCTTACTGACTCCGGTGTGTTTAATTGACCACTAGCCAAAGTCTAGAGAGTGTTTTCTTTTTAGTAAAGCAACAAGTCTTGGTGAAGTAAATTCTGACATCATTTATATGACTTCTGGTTTGGGTTAGTGCAGTGTTTCAGGTGGCCTAAATAGCACTGTCCCGAGTGAAATGAATTTCGTAGAATCCTGTGAGAGTGTGCCAACCAGTATTACGTTACCTCCTTTCTAGGAGCAATTTTTTTCCAATTTGGGACAAACATCCCATTTTAGGGAATCTGCAGGGTCAGCAGGGCACTGCCCTGAAAATCAGGACTGTCCCAGAAAACGTGGGTTGATTGGACACTTTGACTTAGGACTTATTCAAAGGTGAGCAAGGACTTCACAATCTGCCCCGCATTAGAAAACAGTAATGTTAACTAGGCACCACTAAGGTGTATATCAGAATAATGGGCACCTGTACATGCGCTGGACGTCTGCTCCAAGTTGTGCTAATTAGCACAGGTCTAAACAGATTCAATTAATCGAGTCTGCTAGAGTGTGCTAATTAGCATGCTCCAACAGCCTCCGTGTCACATGCATTCAGCGTCCCTGAGCTTCAAAATGGCGGTGGGTGCTTTAACTAAAGCTCATTGAATGCATTTTTGTTAAAGCACCCCGCCGCCATTTTGAAGCGCAGGATGCTGAATGCATCTGATGCTGTGAACACTTTAATTACAGTCACTCTTGGAGCCTCTGTAATTAAAGTGCCCTCCACCCCGAAGCATGTGTAATGATGCCCAGTGAGACTACTCTTGGTAAGGGCCTGGCATATGAATTAACAGCACTTTTTTTGTTTAAGCAAGCATTTTCTTATTGCCTATGGTAAAACAGAACCAGGTAATTTTCTTAGGCTGCTTGATGTAATTTTGACTTAAAAGCTATCTTATGATTTTTCAGGGACTGAGGAAACTAAGAGAAGCTTGCTAGAGCCACCAATTCCAGGCTGGACTGGGTTTGTGCCTAGAGCGAAGGTCACTGATCTTGGAGATGGTGTCCGCTACCATGAAATGGCCAAGAATTGCTATCAGGATTTTAAGAACATAATAGATCAAGTCACGTGTGATCCTTCTAGTAAAATAAACAAGTAAGTTTATATTAGACTTATATCATTATATTATATTATATTATAGATATAATAATTATATTATATATATTAGATCAATATAATTATATTAGATAATATACAGGTGAAAAGCATTATATAAGATTATTATTTTATGAATGGCTTGATACACTAGAGCATATAAGCCTGTGTTGGTTTCTGAAGACTGCAGCATGGTACGTGTCCTTAATACTTGTATTTTAAAACCTTGCTTCTCTATTATAAGTTCTTAATACTTACAATAAAGAGCACACAAGAAGCACTGTATATGGAAGCATGTTAACTCATGTCTTGCATGTGCTGATGTTTTCTGCTGGCAATTTGAGCCATGACACTTAAAAACCTACATGCCGGGGGCACCCTGCCGATGACCCTTTTAAAGTATTTCCAGCATCTCCTGCTGCGTGTTGGATGTAAGGTCTTGTCTTGGATCCACACCTTACTTGCATAAAGCACCCTTATACCACATTGTGATTCCTGAGGTCATCCAGGAGCAGGGTCCTGAAAATACAACCAGTACTGCAAATCCACTTGGCAAAAACATGGCAGGTTTTTCTCTGCCGTTGCTCCTCAGCTCTGGAATTCCCTTCCTCTCGAGGCCTCCAAAATCCAAGCGATTTGGAAGGGGTATAGGACCTTCCTATATGGGCAGGCATTTAGCCACCAAAGCTTGGCTGAGATGTGGTTTAGTGGGTCTCTGTTTTATGTGGCTATTCTAGTTCTGTTTTAAGCTTGTTTTGTTCTTTGGGGGGCGTTTTTTGTTTTTTGTTTTGGTCCCGTTGTTGTGCTCTTGTTTTATAAGTGATTCTGTCCCCTTATTGCAAGCCTCCCTGAACCTTTGTTGGGAAGGGCATCATATAAATCAAATCAATGAATGGACAAATAAAAAGGATGACTTTGATGACCAGTGTTGCTACCTTGGCACAATTCTCTCGTGGATGTTCACCCATGGCCCGTTGTGTGCATCAGGACAGTACATAGCAGTAGCTGAATCCTCAGTCTCGAAAGGGCCTCCGTTTTGCAGCCCAGATCACAGTCTGATCTTGGTGGTGCCTGCGTGTGAGCTCTGGTGAAGACTGAAAGTTCAGTGGTGAGATGACAAGAAACTCCTGGGAACAGAGTGGTTTTTTAATCCAGCAATACTCATTGGATGTCTATAGATGTCATTTATTTGTTTTGCCAATGAATTTCAAACATCAGGGTTTTTTCTGTTTATTTGGCACTTTTATTGCCATAAAACTTCAGTCAGCACAAAACTTACTGTCACCAAAGCCTTTGCAGTTGTCAGGAAGGTGAAACCAGAGGAGTAAACTAAGTGATTTGTGTCTTTCGTCCTGGGGAGGGCAAGGGTGCCGCTTTACAGGACTAGCAGCCGAAGAGGCCAGGGCTCCTAACAGTGGGGTCCTCCTATTTAACAGCTGAGAAAGGCAAAGCATTTGGCAGCTTGGAAGAGGTGGCAAGGCATCAGATGTGAGGTTCTCCATTCCTAAATCGGGTGCAAGGGAGTTCTTCCTTTCCTCCTGCCACCGAGTGAAAGTTCCTGCTCCTTCTCCCTCCAGCTGATAAGGAAATACATTAAATTCAGCACATCCGTTTCCCATAGACTGGTGCTCAACCAACACAAACTCACCCCACATATGCCATCATGGGGTGCATTTACACAAGACAATTACTGCACATTAGCTTAATAACACTGAGCAGTAGTGTGGCGGGTCAAAAACCATACTCATACGCTACTGCGCAGTGGCATTAGGCTAATGCATAGCAAGCGTCACAGAATAACCGTGCACCAGCATTACTGTGCAGTAACTTTAGTTACTGTGCATTTAGTTAGTATTTTATTAGGCAATTACTAAAGGAAAGAGAGGGGGAGGAGTGGCACTCTATATCAAGGAGGACTACACGTCCTCGCTAATTAGTAAAGAGTCAGGGGAGAAGCAATCTGAGGTGCTTTGGGTTAGGGTTCAAGGCAGAAGAGGGGAAAGGGACCTATTGGTGGGAGTCTACTATAGACCCCCTACCCAAACAGAGGAGCTTGACCAGGATTTCTTGGGTCAGCTCACCGAGGTAGTAAAAGCTAGGGATGTGGTAGTCATGGGGGACCTGAATTTCTCAGACACCTGCTGGGAGGAGCAGTCGGTCAGGTCCGAGCGCTCACGCAGGTTCTTGGAGAGAGTCCAGGACCTTCATCTAACCCAGGAGGTGCACAGCCCCACCAGGGGGGATGCCTTGTTGGACTTGGTGTTGGCCACGGGCGACGACCTGGTGAGGGGGCTGCGGGTGCTTGACCCCCTGGGTGACAGTGACCACTGCCTGCTAGAATTCACCATTCAG